ATGACCAAGGATGGAAAAAGTTGTGGTTAATAAATGACAAATAACCTTTGTCTCCTCGCCCTCCCTCCCACCCCCCTCGATACCCAAAAACAGAGCCGGGGGGGAGGGGGAAGAGAGCAAAAGTCACCACCAAAATCTCACAAAGCCCTGAGGCCGCCCAGCCCCGGTGCCTTCGAAGAACAGAGAGAGCAGCGAGGGATGCGCCCGCCCTGCCCCGGGGAGAGGCTGCCCGAGGCTTTTGGGGCAGCTCCAGGTGCCTTCAGGGGAGGTTTTGCCTCTCCCAAGGGATTTGAAGGACACCCAAACCCCTCTAGGGTCATGACAGCAGTTTTCCCAGCTCCTGGCTGTGTGGTCTTTGGGGTTGCCAGGAGAGGGATGCGATCCTTGAGGATGCTGGGAGCGGGATCACAGAACCGCAGAATAACGTGGGTTGGAAGGGACCTTCAAAGGCCACCCAGTCCAAGACCTCTGCAATAAGCAGGGACACCAACCAGATCGGGATGCAGCCCCTGGAAATGCCAAAAAAGGGATGCAGTCCCTGGGAATGCCAGGAGAGGGATGCTGGGAGCAGGATGTTTGGAGAGGGATCATAGAAGAACAGAATAGTTTGGGTTGGAAAGGATCTTGAAAAGTCAACGAGTCCAAACCCCTGCAGGGAGCAGGGACATCTTCGGCTGCATCAGGACAGGATGCAGCCCATGGAGATGCCAGGAGAGGGATGAAGTCCCTGGGAATGCCAGGAGAAGGATGCCATGAATGGGATGCAGCTCACGGAGATGCCAGGAGAAGGATACCAAGAGAGGGATGAAGTCCCTGGGAATGCCAGGAGAAGGATGCCAGGAGAGGGATGTGGTCCCTTGGGGATCCAGATTGACACAAACCTGCCCTTTCCTGGAGCAGGGATGGGATGATGGGACAGCGAGGTGCTTCCCATCACTGGCACAACTCTTCTCAAGGTGTTCCAGGGAGGAAAATTCCCCCTCCACCACTGTCCTTCCTTTACTGGGTCACTCAGGCCACCTTTGAGCAGCTTCAGGAGGAGCAGGGATAGGGAATGGGGACCAAAACACTGGGATGTGCCCCATCCCATGTCTGACCAGCTGCCACTCACAGCCCCAAGCACCAAAAATCGGGGACAGGAACCTGCTGGCTCAGGAGGTGGCAGTTCTCAGAAACCAGATTCAGGTGAAAGGTGTAAAAAAAGAAAAAAAAATTTAAAAAAAAAAAGAGAGGAAAAAAAAAAAAGGAAGTCAAAGCAGCCTCACACTGAGCAGAGATAAAAATGCTGCTCCTCCCGTGGCTTCAGCAAAGATGTTTGAGCTGTGGCAGAGGCTCCAAGGCTTTCTCCGGAAGGAGCCTTCCCGGCCAGTCCCGGCGTGCCATCAATTTGTGGGACGCACTGGATTTCATTAAAATGCTATAAAGAAAGCAGCACAAATGCAAATCCCATTTCCCTTCCCCTTCCTGTAAAAACATCTGGTCAACAGAAACGGCTCGGGACATTTCCGCTGCGAATCACGGCTTTCATGGAGTTTGGGATTTGGCCATATAAGAGGTATTTGGGGTTGGGGCTCAGCTGGGGAAAGGGGCAGCCCCAAATGGTTTCAAGTGGTTGAAATTTATGAAGGTGGAGAGACCTCAGAGGTACCCAGTCCTGAAGGTTGTATGGGATTAAATGGTGTGGGAGAGGAGAAAACACTTAATGCTTCCAAGGAAATCAGGGAGGACTGGTGAGCATTGCCCTCATAACAGACATCAGAGAATCCACCTGGGTGCAACTCCAGGACCATGCCCAGGTTTTCCTATGGCACATATAAATATATATTTAAAAAATTTTTTAAAATATACATATATAGAATATATAATATATTTTTATATAGCCATATGTAATATATATAATATATATTTTATATATAGCCATATATACATATATATAAAATATATTTTCATATATAGCCATATATACATATATATTATATATATTTTATATATAGCCCTATACATATTTATATACACACATATATATATTCTTTGATAGACAGAGCCATATATACAAGCACTACAGGTATTCCCATATCCCTCTATTCCAGCTCCTCCTCCACACAGCATCATCACCTCACTCTGCCCTCCAGAATGTCCCCAGGGTGGCACTGCCCCCAATCCTGTGCCCTGCAGCCAGGCAGTGACCCTCTCCCAGGAGAGATCCCATCATCCCCAAATCCCTCCATCATTTTTCCAGTGCTCGAGGGAGGAGGGAGCGATGCCAAAGCCAAGCCAGCTGTGGCTGTGAGCACGGCAAGGGGAGCTGCTCCCTCTCCCAAAATCCTCATCTCTACTCTGGCACACGCCTGGGCAGGGGGTGCCCACTCCAGGCAGTGCCATTGGTATTGCCACATTCTCCAGCACAGCTCCCTGACCCTTCACCCAGCACAGCCACCCAAGCAGTAAATGGGATCAGGGCTCTTCAAAGCCCCCACTCCCTTTGATGCCAGGGATTAAGCTCAGAGGCCTCATTGGAGCACCAGGAGAAAGGGGGGAAAATGAAATAAAAGCTGCCAAAAGCAGCAGGACCCCCCTCCTTTCTCCACACACCTGCCTTTTCCAAGGTCACTCCAAGGGGAGGGATATTTGGGGGCTTGGCTTGGTGCTGTAAAGCCCTGAGGCTGAGATGAAATTTCAATTGCATCCTATTATTTACAGGGTGGAAAGGGGGAAGAAAGAGGAGGAAGGGGGAAGGAAGAGGAGGAAGGGGGAAGGAAGAGGAGGAAGGGGGAAGGGTGTTTCCAGGCAGACCCTGAGGGTAACCAACCTCACAATCCACAGATCAGTTGGGGTTGAAAAATTCCAAGAACTGATTTTACGGTTGCTTATTTAAAACCATCAATTTTCTATGGTGATCAACACCATCCTCAAATCAGGAACAGACCCATGAGATGGGGAAAAGGCGGTGGCAAAGCCCTGGGAGCATCCTGGAGCTGGAGGATGGAAAGGAGGAGGCTCCTCACAGCCATTCCCAGGGGGCTGTTGAGTGTTATTTAGTTATTTTAAAGGAAAATAACCCCCCAACAAACTGCTCTGTTCTCACTGCTCCGTGGTTTGCCCCGTGCTGGGTTTGGGCAGTGGGAGCCACCAGCACCGTGGGGGATTTTCCACCACCCCCGGAATTCAACCGCAGTTACTGGGAAAGGGTCAGGATTGATTGTGCTGTAAAGGAGACAGGAGCTGGCCCTGGCCCAGGGAATTGGAAAGGAAGGAACCGCCCTGAGAATATTTGCACAGGAAGCAATTTAATCCAGAGACTTGCAAAATCCAGCAAGGAACATCCCCCACTTCCGCAGGTCTGGCTGAGAAACCCCCTGCTCGGGGCTCTGGGGTCTCCAGCCTCGTGGGGATGTGGAGCACCAGGAAATTTCCATCCCATGGAGACTGCAAGGAATAATGCTCAGAGCACTGGGGGAACTTGGTCAGTGTCTTGTTTGAAGTGTCTCCCACCCCTGGGTCAAAGCTGGGCAGGGAATGTGGGGAGAGGAAGAATGTGCTGGGCTTGCTTCCCAAGGGGGAGGGAAACAAAGAAAGAAAAAGGGAGAAAATGAAAAAAAAAAAAAAGGGGGAATAGGGAGAAAAAGATGGGGGTAGTAAAAAAAAAGGGGGGGATTGAAAAAAGAAAAGGGGAAGTGAAAAAAGAAAAAGGAGGAAGAAAAAAAAGAGGGAAGAAAAAAGAAAAAGGGATTTAAAAAAAGAATAAGAGATTAAAAAAAAAGAAAAAGGGGGGAAAAGGGAGAAAAGGGGTGAGGGAAGGAAAAAAGGCAGTGCTATCCAGCTGCTGGAGCACCCTCCAAGTGCCCCAGAGTGCCTCTGACCTCCCTGTGCCCCAGGATGGGGACACACACTCCCACGGGGACAAACAACTGCAACCCTTGACATGACGGAGCAAAACCAGCTTTTACTTTCAGATGTTACAATTTTGATGTTGTTTCTTTTTTCAAATATTTAATATTGGAGTCGTTTGACGGAAATAGCAGGAATTCAGCCAGCTGCTCCCTGACCCTGCTGCCCTGAAGGCAGGGACAAGGCTCCAGCTCTACCGGAGGTTTCCTCCTTCCAAAGCACAAGTTTGTCATCAAAGTTATACGAGAACAAAAAAGAAAAAAAAAAATAAAATAAAAAAAAAAAAAGAAAATTCATCCCATCACGCCTGTGCAAGTCCTGCCATGTGGAGGAACTGTCTTTTTACAGATTGAACACCCCAACTCCCCCCACATCACTCCCCACTCCCTCACATCCTGCATCATCTCCACTCCAGCCACGTCCCAGCACCACGGGAGCTCCCTGCAGCAGCTGAGAGCTGAACTTCCAGTCACAAAACTCCTTACAAAAACTAAAACTATGGGTCCCACTGGGAGCAGAGAAAGGCACAGAGCCTAATTCCTTTTTCCCTTTCCTCTCCCAGCTTGCCCAGGCGAGCAGATCTCAGGCTGCTAAAGCCACAGCACAGGGGACAGGGTGAATTTGGGGTTCATCAGACTGGGTTGCCCCACACCTTGGTGGAATGAGGCTGGGATGAGTGGGATGGAGGCCACCAGCCTCACTCTTCAGCTCAGAAGGCAGGCACTGTGCTCCCAGCTGGAAAACCCAGCTCTGGAGTCCCAGCAGGCAGAAATGCAGTGACACATTGACCGACTGCAGCAACAAGCACACCTTGGTCTCAGCATCTCTCACTCCCCAGACAAGACCCACAGGGGTGGCTTTGTCTCCTTCTCAGAGGCATTAAATAACACGGCCCAGCCTCATGTGGCTGCAGCAGAGGGAGAGCAGTGGCAGAGCAAACCCATCCGGGCCCCTCATGGTGAGAAACCCTCGTGGTGAGAAACCCTCGTGGTGCTGGCTGCACCGTGGCCCTGCTCCTCCCTGTGGGATGCTCTGGCGTCTGGGCATCATCCCTAAATGAGGGACCCGCAGCATCACTGGCTGGAACAGGCAAAAGGGTGGCAGCTCCTTACCTTGGGCGGGTCGAAGAGCTCCAGCACGAATTCCTCGGCGTCGGGCGGCCCCGCTCGCCGCAGCACCAGGCGGCAGCGCTGCCAGCGCGTCCCGCTGTCCAGGGAATTCTCATCCAGCAGCCCGTACTTGAGCAGCCCCTCCTTGCGCACCTCGGGGGGCTGCTCCCGCGACAGCCCCCACGGTAGGATGCGCTTCCCCAGTCCCGGCTTGAGAGCCGCCTCCGCCGCCTCCCCATCGCCATCCCCGGGGAGCGCGTCCGAGGAGCGGCGTCGGAAGAGGCTGCGCCAGCTCCTGCGCAGCTGGCTGAGCGAGAAGGGCCTCCGCGCCGGCCCCGCCAGCTCCTCCGAGCTCCAGGACTTGCGTAGTCCAGAGGGAGCAGCCTCGGGGGCTCGGACGGGCTGCTCGGGGCGGGCACCGGGCTCCGCCTCGGCTTTGGTGGCCACCGTGCCCAGGGAAGCGTCGGTGTGCCGCCGGTGCGTGTCCCGGTAATCCCGCGCCGGGCCGGCGGGCAGGATGCGGAGCTGGTTCATGGCGATGCCCTCCTTCACCTCGTGGCAGAAGTACTGCTGGAAGAGGTCGGTGAACTGCACCGAGAAGTTCTCGGCGGCCAGGAGGTCATGGTGCGGGTGCTCGGTGGCGAAGCGCAGGTAGTGCCGCGCCAGCTCCTTGGCGGTGCTGATGGCGTGCAGCTCGCAGAACTCATGCCAGCCCCGAGGATGCGCTGGCGTGCCGGCCGGCAGCGAGTGCCCATTCATTGCCGAGGCTCCAGCGAGGCGGCCGCGCTGCAAGACAGAGCACACGGGTGGTGAGGGCAGCCCCAGGGTCCCCATGTATCCCCCACCCCGGCAACTCCTGGCTGGAGTGGCCATACCCCACTCGGAATGTGCATCCTCAAGGCCTGGGGAACACTGTGGTCAATCGGGTCCCACTCTAAGCTGCCTCATTCCCATGGATACGCTAGAAATGGCCAGGGGACAGCTGCTTCCCAGCGAGCAGCACGGCATGTGACCAGCAGTGGCCACGCTGGACCCCGAGCCCGCAGCCCCGCCGCAGCTCCTTTACACGCCCGTCCCCACCTGGCTGGGCCGTGCCTCAGTTTCCCCACCTGCGCGGTGGGGAGCGGGCAGGTCGCGGCGCGGGGCGTCTGCGCGGCTTCCTGCCAGCACAGCTGCCTGCAGCTGCCCGCCGCCCGCGGGGACGCCTGGCCCGGCCACATCCGCTCGGCTCCTGCCAAGGCTCCGCAGCGCCGATGGGTTTCCCTCCAGGGACCGATTTCAACGGAGTTGATAAAACTGGAACGGGGGCGGGAGGGGAGGAAGCAACATGAAAAGCTGCAGAAATCCAGGGATGGAGCTGCCTCGCTGCCAGATCCTCCCGGCCCCAGCGGCCTGAGAAGAGGCCGGGACTGCCCGGGGTGAGCGCGCTTTCCTGAGGGGATGCTCTGCCGCCTGCGGCACCGAGGAGCTGCCGGGCTCTGGCAAACCACACCGTATCTGTGCCCCCGGCAGATTTCACTGCGAAGCCAATCTGGCAGCACCGTGGCTGGCGTGCAGCCGGCCCGGCGTGCCCGGCTGAGCCGGCAGTGGTGCTCCCCAGGGCCGGCCCCGCTGCTCACCAGCGAACCTCGTGCCCGCCCGGGGCACTTATCGGGGCCGTGCACTCCGCTCAGGAAGGAAACATCGGCCAACCCACCCGGATCCTGCCGCGCCGGCACAGGCGCTGCCGCCTCCCCGAAACTCCAGCAGCAGCACCCCGGCTGCTGGGAGGGGAGGAAAAGCGGATTGCGTTCGTCAGGGGGAGGAAAAATTACAAAAAAAAAAAAAAAAAAAAACGACACAAAAACCCTGAGGGGCCAGGAGGAAGCGAGAGGGCGATGAGGAACGTGCGGGCACAGGGGATCGTGTTTGCAACCGGGGCGGCGATAACGCCGGGAAGCGGGGCTCTATCTCTGCCCACCCGCTGCCCTGCCGAGCACGTCCCGCGAAGGTTGCAGGCGAGGGGAGATGTTATCTGCCCCCCGCCAGCCTCGCCTTCTCAGAAGAGCCGCCCAAAACCCGGGGCCGTCCGGCGCCCCGGCAGTGCGGGGCATGCGCCCGCCGCAGCCCGGCCGAATCCCCCAGCTGGGCCCCGTCTATCAGCGCCGCCAGCCTGCCCGTGACTCAGCATCCTCCGCAGCGCTCCCGCTTCCTCCCGGCACCCGGGAATCGCCGCCGCACCACCCACGCCGCCGGCACGCTCGGAGGGATGCTCCCGCAAAACGCGGAGGGAAGCGAGGCGCTCGTGCGGACGGCTCCGCAGGCAGGTGCGAGATTCCCAGGGTAGGGAATTCACCTTCCAAGATTTCAGGCTCGCTTTGTACCAGCTTCGGGAGAGGTTTGTGGCACGGGAAAAGCCGGGCTTCGTCTGTGCCACGCGGTGGGAAGCAGCCGAAGGCCGTCTCCAGTAGCAACGTGCTTTTCCAACCCGACGATGGGAAATACTCCCCAGCGCTTCCTCCTCCCAGCACTGGCACGATGCCGACCTCACTGCTTCTGCCTGGCACACTTCCCACATGGAAAGAGCTATCCCGGGTGAATCCATGCTGGAGTTACCACAGCAGCCTCCTGCTCCTCTGCTTAGCCCCAGGTTTCAGTGGCAACATCCACAGGGATGCGAGTTCCTGCTGCTGGGTGAGCTTCCCCCTGCTCCAGCCTGCTGTGTTCCACAAAGCTGGAATCCAGCAGCCAGTGGCTTTAAGGCAGAATTGACATTTTATTCCTCATACGTTCCCGTGAGGAGCTCCTGGCCATCCTGCAGGTCAGACAAAGGACTTCTGATGGCTTCAATTTGCTCTGAGTGGAGAATCCAGCCCATCCTTGGACACATCATGGACTAGTTGGGACTGGGGGGCTTCCATCCCTGCCGGCTGCTGGAAGAGCTGTACGTCACCAAGCCCGCCCCACCTCGGGGCTGTTTGTGGGTGCTGAGGTTGTTTTGGGGTGCTGAGGTTGTTTTGGGGTGCTGGGCCAGGAACTCGAGGAAGAGCAGGACGGGACGGACCGGGCGCGGTGGCTTTGATGCGGGCTGGGACAGCGAGCTGGGGCTTGTGCAGGATCCAGCCCTGCAGCCCAGCCACCCCCAGGAGCTTCCCTTAAACTCTTGCCCAACCTGAGCGCTGCTGCGGCAGCAGTGCCAGCACCGACTGGGACGGGAATCTGCGCCTGGATCCAGCAATGGGTTATTTGTCCCAGTAAATGCATTTGTTGTTTAATTGCAGCCAGAGGAGCTGGCAGCACCAAGCAGTGCCAGGGCAGTGCTGGGAGCCAGCGCCCAATCCTGCCACCCGCTCCCAGGGGATGAGCATTCAGAGCCAGCTGGCCTCACCACGGAGGAGCTGCCGGATCCAACTCGCCACCTTCCCATCTCCCAGGGGTGTGGAGGTCACCCTCCAGCACCCAGCACCACAAATCCAGCCTCGAGGGGAAGCGTGAGGGAGCAGAGCCCACGTGGCCGTGCCCTGTGCCCAGCCCTGCTCACACGCTGTGCATGTGCAGCACCACCAACCCGAAAATGAAACCGGCCCCACTCGCTGCCAGTTCCACGGCAGGAAAATGCACGCCAGTGACGTGAATAGGAAATGTGATTGATGCGCCAGCTCTCCCAGAAATAACTGTTCCCAACTGGAGGAGAAGAGTCCAGAGGCATTTGCAGCTCCCTTTATAAGCACAGGAATATTCAAAACTCATCCCAAGGACTATTTTCAGGAGAAGCGAGGGGCTGGGAGACGCCCTGGCCGGCCCCGCAGCTCCCCACTTCCTGAGTGGCAGAAATACAAAGTTCCCACAATCCCAAGAGCGGGAACATTGTTCCTTCCCAGGATGTCCTCCATGAAAAGAGCTATTCTGAGCCGGCTGCAGCCTTTCTTGGCATGGCCCCGCAGCCGCTCCGAGGCGGCTATAAAAGGCCAGGTTACAATGAACGGCACTTTTCAATGGAACTGCATCTGGCACGGCGATTTTGGGGGGATGCAGGTCCCTGGAGGGGGGATCAGGGGGATGCAGGTCCCTGGGGGATCCAGCCAGCCACAGGTGGGCTTGCAGGGGCTGGGTGATGCAGAACCTCCCCGCAGGATGGGGATGGTGCAGCCCCGCTCTGCATCCTGATCCCTCAGAGACGGCGGGTGCTGGAAGAACATCTGGATGCACCCCTGGATTGAGGGGGACAAGCAGGGTGCTGCAGCCATTTGGGGGTGGGCATGGAGATGCTGCCACTCAGGAAGGCAGGAGGGGTTGGTGCAGGGGGTAGGTGGGGAAAGGTCTGGTTGCAGCCTCGGGATGTGGGATACACCCACGTATTTACAGCACCACTATAAAACAGCCAAAGCCAGTGCCAGCACAATCCACAGCAGAAACTGCCCAGCATTGTCCTCCTCTTCCCTCTGGGGCAGCTCCCTGTGATGGTGAGGATTCTCTGGGTCTCAGAAAGGGTGATGGCACAGCACCATCACTCCCTGTGACCCTCTAGCTGTTTCCACACAAGCTGGAGAATCCCACGGGGTCTCAGGAGTTTCCCTCTCTCTCTTTTGGCTGAACCAAACCAGCAAGTTAAAAAGTAAGAAAGGAGAAGGACAGAAAGATTCCCCCAATTCCACACGTGTAGGAAATCAGTTTAAAAGCCAGTGTGGGAAGGCAGATTTTACCCTCATTCTCCCCCTTTCTCACAGGACATACACACTCTTCTCATTTCACCTCCTGGCACTATACAGCTTTCTATATTAAAGACCCAAACTGGCCTTAATTTACAGCTCTGTATGGACTGAGCAGCACCACAGAGCTCTGGGGATGTGGGTGATGTTACAGCACTTCAAATCCGAGGAAAGTTCACCTGTTTGGCTTTCCCTGACCACTCCAACAGGACAGACAGGATAGAGAAAACCCAAACCCATCTCAGGTCAAATCCAAGCTCCACGCTGGCTCGGCCCACAGCAACTCACCAGCACAAACAGCTGTGGCCAGCCCAGCTCCCCAAAAACCCTGAGCCTGCCCCCACACCGTGGCGTCTGGCACCTTGCAGCCTGGTTTACACCATCACACTCTCCTACACCCACTGCCTGCGGGGAAAAGCCCGGCAGTGGGGTGGCCTCTTTCGACAGGGCTTGTTTTGTTGCATGAAATGAATCGCTGCGGTGTAGGCGTGGGAGAAACGGGGTGCGGGGAGCGCTCCCGGGGGAGCGGCTGCCCGGGGGTCCCTGGGGACAGCAGGCAGCAGCTGAGCTCCCAGCCAGCCTGGCTCGCCGCAGCAGCCCCCCAGGGATTGCTGGATTTGGCCCTTTCTCCTTGCCGAGCTGCGGCAGCACCACAAACCCCACCAGCGATGAGCGCTTGCACTTTCACTTTGTGTCACCCACTGGGATTTGTCACGACACCTTCACGGTGCCCATCAGTGCCATGGGTGTGTGGGTGGGGAGGATTTGCTCTGGCAGAGGATGGAAGATCCCTCAAAAGCCACTGGCACTTGCACCCCAACCTCACCAACACAGCACAGGGTGCTGGCAGACCTGCAGCCCTGTGGGCTCTGGTGAAACCAAACCAGATCTTACCAGAGGCAATAAATATATAAAAGTGAGAGAAAATAGAAGCTTTGGGGAGGAGAAAATGCAAAGGGATGAGCCTCTCCTGCTCCGAGAAAAAGTTAAAAAGAAATCCAAAGCATTGTTCTAGTCCCAAACAAGTCAAAGTGAAACCTGCCACTAATTCCATAGGCCTTTAAACACCAATCCTGTTTCCTGCCAGCAAATCCAAGTGCAGTGAGGACATGCAGGAGCTGGCAGCGCCAAGTCCCTGCACAGGCCACCTCTTCCTCTGGCTGCAGCCCCACAGAGTCCCCAGGCCACCAGCCCACAACTCCAGCACATCTTGAATCAATTTACAACAATATCGAAATCGCAGCTCAGTAACTCATCCTGGTTTCCTTGACAGTAAATCCCAGCCCGGGCTGCAATGACAGTGTCACTGCCATGAGCCAGCGGGTCCAGGCTCTCCGTGGGTGACCCTGATGGGGTTTGGCACAGGCAGGACTGGGCACACTGGCAGGGCATGGGAAGGCTGTGGGGATGCTGACCGCTGGTGCATCGGCCTCGTGCTCCGAGCCCCTGCCAAGCCACGGGGCCAACAAAGTCTGCAGGGAGCAGAGAGTCAGAGGAGCTGCTTGGCAGGCTCCAGGTGGCAGCTCTGCTTGGCACTCACAGCGGGCACGGGGGCAGAGGCAAGGCATGGCCCCCTCGGGCAGCGCAGGGCCCCAAGACATGGGGCAGGTGGGCATCACCCCATCGGTCCTGCACCCTCCCAGAGGGGTCACCCCCACGGCAGGGGCTGCAGGGGTCCGGGGGGAGGCAGAGGAGAGGGGCAAGGCTGGTTCCCTGCATGCTGCTCCCCCGGCTCTGGGATCTCCAAAATACGGATGCTGGGAAACGGGGGAAGTCAAGGGATCCCAAAGGAAGGGGTGCTCTGGGGTCCCGTGCTGCTAGAAGGACAGGGGTGCCCAGGATGGGGGCACCCACAGAGGAACAGAGCCCTAGAACAGGGAGTGCCCATGAGGAAAACGGGACCACGGGCAAGCAGTCCCTGGAAAGAGGCAGCCCGAGGAAAGGGCAGGGACAAGGCTGTGCCGCACAGAAATGGGCTGAGGGGGACGGGGCTGCTGTCCGAGGGCTGGCAGAGGAAGGGGCTCACTACTCCGGAACGGGAGCACCGGAGTTCCCCGGGTGAGAGAATCCAGCCCGGGGCTCCCGGGGGCTGCACAGGAGGAGCGGCCGCCTCGCTGCTTCCTCCCGCCGCTACTTTCGCTTTGCAGCGGCCGCTTCCCGGGGCCGCCCGTCCCGTCCCGGTCCAGCCCTGCCCGTCCCGGTCCGGTCCAGCCCAGCCCAGCCCAGCCCGTCCCGGTACCGCCGCGCCGTCGCGGTTACCTGCAGGAGAAGGCGTCCGGCTGCCGCTCGCCCATGATGGAGCGGCGGAACGCCCGGGACGGGGCGGGCGGGACGGGGCGCACGGCTCAGCTCGGCACGGCACGGCACGGCACGGCTCAGGCAGGAAACCGGGGCAGGCGGCTCCGCATTTCCGCCGGGCGGAGGCGCGGGGCGCGGACCCCGGCCCCGGACGGGTTATGTAAAGCGGAGCGGCGCGGCCGGGGGCGGAGGCTACGCGGAGGCGGAGCGGAGGGGCCGCCCCGTCCGTCCGTCCGCCTGCCTGACTGTCCCTATGTGTGTGTGTCTGTCCGTCTGTCCGTCCGCCTGACTGTCCCTCTATGTGTGTGTCTGTCCGTCCGTCCGCCCGCCTGACTGTCCCTATGTGTGTGTGTCTGTCCGTCCGTCCGCTCGGGCCCCGCCGGCGGCTCCGCGGGTGCGCCCGGCTCCGCGCAGCTCCGCGCCGCCCCTCCCTGCTTCTGCCTTTATCTTATCGCATCCGCGCCCGCGGAGCCAGCGGCACAAACAGCCCGGCCGAGCTCCCGGGGTGGATTTATTTTTAATTTTGACGCATATGTATTTTTGTGACTTTTGGAATGTTTTCTCCGTGGATTTGGGGGTGTCCGCCACAGCCCCCCGGGAGTCGGGAGGGAGCCCGAGCGTGGGGCTCTTGGAGGCTTGGAAAGAAAATGCCCCCTTTTCTGTTCCTGCTCGGCCACGTCTTCCCCCAGCTCCGCGGGCTGGGACCCAAGGGACCTGTGCGGTGGCAGCAGTGGGCCAGATGCCGTCTCAAACCCTGTTTCTCATAATTTTCCAAATTATCTTGTGGCAAAAGGCAGCGCAGGCTGCTGCCCACGTCCAGCCAGACCGGATCAGGACACAGGGCCCAGAGTTGTCCCACACCGTGGGCGAGGGCTTCAGCCGTGACAGAGCGGTCACAGTGTCCCTGGATCCCGAGCAGGACTGGGGACTGCAGTGGGTGGGCACGGGTCAGGCTCAGCCATCCTGGTGCCATCTCATCCCAAGGGAGCAGGGGCCCCACAGCAAAACCACAGCCACCCACTCTGCCATGGGAAATGGAGCAAAAATAAACTTCCACGGCACCTTTTTCCAGTAAAGGGCAGGACTGTGGTCTGTAGTGTCACATCTGGCCCATTGACATCCCCCACTTGTGTTACTGGTTGTGCCAAGAGCTCCTACAAAGCCGTGTCTGGAATGGCAGCAGTGGCAGGGACAGAGGAACAGAGCCCCACGCAGAGGCCACTCACACTGGGCAGGAAAAAGTCACGGCAGAGCAGCCGTGGTGGTGCCCAGGGTCTGGTGCCCACCCAGCATGCCAAGCCAAGGAAGCCCAGGGATGTGGCAGCTGGGATTTCACACACTCCACACAATGGATTTGTGGGTGTTGGGAAGGTGGAAGCTGCAGGAATTTGCCCTTGGAGAGTGGGCTAGGGACACACTGAGCCATTTGTGAACATCTGTGTGTCACCCCCCGTGGGGTCCGTCCTCAGTGGTGCTTTAAACACACCTCAGTTTTTCACCCCATCCATTCCCAATCCACCCTCCAGGGAAGAAACGAAAGAAATGCAAACTCCCTGCTGGAGCTGCGCCACCCCTGGACCACAGCCGGTTTGGACACAGCCCTGCTGCCCTTCTGCAGCCTCAGCAACCCCCCCGGATCAGATCTGAGCCATAACCCTGCAGCCCCTCGGTCATTGCCAGGGATCCAGGTGACTCCGCATCCAATCAGCCCTTCCCAAACCCCACAAGGAAGTGGATGGGAGCAGCTGACATGATAAAATCTTACCTTGAAATCTGCTTTTTAATTCCTCCTGCCGTTGCTTTATGCATAATTGCACCTTCTGGCTCTTTTCCTGAGGACGGAGGAGCGGCCGGCGGATCCGGGTGCCTGCCCCCCTTCCCGCGGGCGGCTGTCCCAGCTCCCAGCGATCGCACTTTTCTTTATCAGCTTCATCTATGTCAGAAGCGCCCTCTCAGCGTCCTCAGCCCCAATGGCCTGAGATTTCTCTTTTGTTTTGCTTCCTGTATGGATTTTCTCAGTCCCCAACTGCTAATTCACTACCCCCGACTTCTGCTTTTTTTTTTTTTGCTTTTTTTTTTTTTTTTTTTTTTTTTTGTGCATGTGGAGCTGCGCAGATGCTCTTACACACACACACTCTCACTCAGGCGCTGCTGCTTCCCTTCCGCTCTGCGCTGCCCTCAGCTTTTAACCATTGCTGCTTTCTTCTGCTGTGTAAAAACCCCTTTACCGGCTTCCAGCCGTCCTTCCCACTTCCCTCCTTAACTGCTCTGCTCTGGCCCATTCTGTTTTCAGGATGGGTGGGGCGGTTTGGAAGTGGCTCATTTGCACACCTCCAGGCGGGATGTGGTGGGTTTCAGGTGACCTCTTCCATCCCACACCGAGGTATTGTCCTTCCCAACCTGCCCGGAGGGGGCTACGACATCTGGAAAGGCTTGGCTGTGGGGGTCTGGGCTGATCTGGAAAATGCCCCCCAAAATCTTACCCTGGCTTCTACGTGTCCCTTCCGAGGGCTGGCTCGGGGGGAGATGGTAACGGAGGTACTGATTTAGGGATGGTTGGGCTGGTTGTGGAGGGGGTGCTGATGGGCAGGGGGGTGCTGATGGAGCGGGATGGAGGCAGTGACGGAGGCTGGCTGCCCCCGCGTCCCCGCTGAGCCCCGCAGCGCTCCGGCCGCCGTGGCCGGGCTCCCGCCGCCCTCTCCCGGCCCTTCCCCGCGCTGCAGCCGCCGCCTCCGGCCCTTCCCCGCCCGGCTCCGTTTGCCCGGAGGGGCCCGGGGGCAGCGTGTCCCTGTGCCCGGCTGGAGGCGGCCTGGGACCGGGAACCCCGCGACGGGGCAGGTTCCGCACCCCGAGAGGCGCCCGCCCCACGCCCGCGTCTCGCTGACAGTCAGGACTTGTTCGCCTTGAACGCCAAGGCACGGCTCGGGATCCATTTGGGTTCCCGGGGGATGATTCTGTGCCGGGCACCCGCACAGAGCCGGGTATCAGAGAGCACCCCGTTCCCCCAGCACCCCGAGATTCCCGGCACTGGGGGTGACTCAGAGCTCCCGCTGCTCTCGCTGAGCCGACAGCACCCGCCGCTGTGTAATCACAGCAAGTCACCAGTCATGGGAGCAGCTGGAAGCGGGGGCCAAGGGCATCCCATGTCCAGAAATGCTCCTGGCACCCCCTCACCTCCTTTCACACCCTTTTCTTTTCCCTTTCCCTCTGTTGTCGGGCAAGTTCAACATGGGAGTTAATTTTCCCATTTTTCCCATCAAAATTTGAGGGGAAACTGAGGAACAGAGTCTGGGCTCCTTGCTGGGGGGGTGCTGGGGGACAACAGGGAAAATACGGAGCCGCTCAGAAAGGGAAGTCCTGGAGCTGGTGCAGCAACATGTGACTGTCCCAAAAGAGACCCAATGGGAAGCAAAAATCCACAGGGGAATTTTGCCGGTGTTTTTGAGGAATTGGGATGATTTTCCAGAGCAGCTGTGGAGGAGGAACAACCTCTGCAAGATGAAAACGTGGCTTTGGAGTCCCAGGAAAGGAAAGCAGAGCTGGGAGCACTGCTGCCTTTTTCCAATTAGCCGAGCTGCTCTAATAAAGATATTGCTTCTCCCCACAGCCCTTCCCATTCTAATCTTGCCGTGTGAAAAGGCATCTCTGAGCTAGGCAGGGAGATAAGTGTTGCAGAGCCCTGAGACTTCCCACCAGCGACCTTGAACAGAGCTGCTCTGCTCAGGAGGGAAGATAAAGCCCAAATGGTTTTAGTGTAGGTTTAAATCCCTTTTTATAGCCTGAAAGTGAAAGCCTGCAGGTGACAAGGAAAACCCTTGGTGAACTGAAAACCTCTGACACAAGCAGAAAATTATAAAGTCCTGAGCAGTTGTGCAAGGAAATGAGGGCATCTGTGGGTGGGGAGTGAACCACAACCTGTGGCAGAGGTCAGGGACAGCAGGGTTTCTGGGATGGGGACCTGTAAAATTGTTGACAGTGCCTTGATTGCCAAAATGCACACATGGCTGTGGAGCAGAGCAGGAGGATGAAGAAACTGGAGGAAAGGGACAGTGATAAGAAGAGCAAATCCTTAACGCTGGTATTTACTGGGACATGGTGAGGACAGCAACACTGCCAAGGTGGTCCTGTGAGCCTGGAAGGCCAACCAAGAGCAGAAGTCAGACTGGAGGCTTGTCCCCACTCAGCTTCTTCTGTCCTTCTGCACTGAGACCACCCCACACTTGTCTGTGGCCCAAGGATATGGGTGGAAGGTCAGGAGAGCAGCCAGGACTTGCAGCCTGGTCCCCTGCAGCATCCCCCACCCACACAGGACCAGTCCACATCTTGCCACCAACCCTCCTTGTGGGGCTTGTGTTGCCCACCTCATCCACCAACCTCTGCCCGTTCCCTGCCAGATCCTGCCAGAATCCCAATTCTTTCCCTCCGAAATGTGCTCAAAAATTCAACGTTGTGCAGCCACCTTCAGGACTAAACTCCTGGGTTTCCCACACACGTGCACATCCCTGAGTAAACCCATACATTCACCCCGGGATGTGCATATCCCCCGCACCCTCCAATGCGTGCCCCCACCTCTCGCCCATTCCCCCCTCGCTCTCCCCGCTGCTGTCTAGCCCTCAATCCCGGTGCCCGGAGCCGTGATCTGCCGGGGGTTTTGGGTCTAGCCAGGGGCTCCCTGCCCCGGGGCCGAGCTCCGGAGCGCTTTTCCAGCTCCTCCCTCCCGGCCGCGGCCGCGGGGATGGGCGGTGGCGGAGGCGGGCGGGAGCAGCGCTCCGCCCGCGGGGCCGGGGCGGGCCGGGGCGGTGGGAGCCGAGGACAAAGGTGACCGTGAGGGAGCGGTGCCCCAAAGCCCCCTCGCACCATCCGACCCCGGATCCAGCGCTCTCACGACCACCACGGCCACTCGCGTGTCGTTGATGCTGGTGACCGCCGCAGACCGGAGGTAAGAGTCCAGGTGAGTGCAAAATCTGGCACGGCGAAGCCACCAGCGATTAGGGGATAAGAGGAGCGGTGGCCTTGCCCTGGTGACAGGGTTCATGGCCACGGCTCTCTGGAGCGGCAGCCAGATCCACGGCGCCGGCCAAAACGCTCCCTGCGCGCCGCGGGGAGGAGCGGCGCGACACGGAAAACACGGCGCCGGCGGGAAGGTCACCTGTGCAGGTGACGTGGGGCACCGGGACAGGCCCTGCCTGGGGCTCCTCCGTGGGAAAACACTCCACTGGGGTGGTGGGGGGGGGGGGGGGAACCTCGTCCCCACTGAGCCTTGGGGAGCCAGAGCCCACCCGGCATCCGCCGGACTCAGCACCTTGTCTGGGAGCGGGCTTATCCCAAGTATCCCGGTGTTGTTTATTCAGTAGCTCCATTTCCTGGGCGCCAGGGCTGCTGCCAGCAAGAACAAAAAGGCGATGGTTCGTTTCCGTGCAATTAAGGCGCTGCGCTGAGCACCCTCTGTCCCCGCAGGGCGCGGAGCCATGAAGCTGAACGAGCGGAGCTTGGCCTTCTATGCCACCTGCGACTCTCCGGCCGACAACTCCGGCTTCCTCTACAAGCGCGGCGAGCGGCACACGGCCTATCACCGCCGCTGGTTCGTGCTCAAGGGCAACATGCTCTTCTACTTCGAGGAGCGGGACAGCCGGGAGCCCGTGGGCGTCATCGTGCTGGAGGGCTGCAATGTGGAGCTCTGCGATTCAGCCGAGAACTTCGCCTTCGCCATCCGCTTTGGCGGCAGCAAGTCCCGCACCTACGTGCTGGCGGCGGAGAGCCAGGCGGCCATGGAGTCGTGGGTGAAGTCGCTGTCCCGAGCCAGCTTTGACTACATGCGGCTGGTGGTGCGGGAGCTGGAGAAGCAGCTGCAGGAGATGAGCCAGGGGCTGCCCGGAGGATGTGGGGGCTCCCAGGACGCTCCCGGCCCTTGGAAGCCCAAGCCGTCGGGGCTGGAGCAGTCCCAGGAGCGGCTGCCGGCTCTGCCCGCCGTCGTGCCGAAGGAGAACGGCTGCGCCGTGTGGAACAACGTGCTGGGTGCGGACCGGCCGCCCGACACCTCTAGCTGCGGTGGGCACGATGAGGAGGGGACCCCGCGGCCGCCGCCGCTGCCGCCGCGCAGGCGGGTGATGAACGGCGAGGCGGCCGTGGCAGAGAGCCCGTCCACCTTCTGCCGGCTGCACGAGCAGTACAGCCGGGAGGTGGCCCGGCTGCGGCAGGACTGGCAGCAGAAGCGGCGTGGCTCTCAGCCCTGAGCTGTGGTTGAGCCCTGGGAACCTACCAGGAGCTGGGGCAGGTGGCCATCCTTGGTGCTGGCCCTGTCCCCTCCTCACCCCGGGATGTGCAGACCTGGCTGTGGTGGTGATGGACACCTGCTGGTGGTGCCAATGAGGGCTGGGCAGCAAGGGACACCAGTGCTGCTCTGTGATGGTGAAATGGGCACCACAGGGGTGCCCTCCAGCCATGCCCCCATGTGGGTTTGGGGTGCTCCACTCAGCACGAGCAAACTACAAACCACTCACTGACTGAGGCCTCCTGGAAATCGACTGCTGCTCTGGCTCTGCTGGGGCCTCTTGGTGCTCTTGCAGTGGGATCATGCCTTGACAACTTCTGGAGGAGGATTGTGATGGGATCTCGCCCGCCTGGGTTCCTGTGTGGGTTCCACAATGGAGAGCCTGCTACCAACTTCCCCTCCTGGCCCAGCACAAGGCTGAGGTCGGCTGAGCTCTGCCAGATCCCTCTGCTCCAGCAGGATGTGGTTTGACATGAAAATATCAGCGAGTGCAGCCCTTCCTTAATGGCAGCAGCAGCTCCGCACGCTCAGGGGAGCTGGTGACACCCAGCCCTGGGCATTTCACAGGGAGCAATTGCTGCTTGCAGCCTGGATGGCAAATATGGGAGGGGTCAGACCCTGGGGGAATTCAGCAGCTTCAGGCACTTCTTTGCTGGTGGATATTTTGGGACAGCACATCATCCCCGTGCCAGCTCAATAAGGGGAAGCATCGCTCGTGGTGGCAAATGGGAACGTGTGTGTCAGCAGCAGAGCGTGAGGAATGATTCATGTGCCAAACCAGAGCGAAGCTGGTGTCTCATGCCTGTGTTTCTATCTTATTTCCACATCAGAAACTCAAGCTGCTGGCCCAGAGGTGGGGTGAACCACCCTGGAGCAAGGGGGAGCAGTCAGGGTGCCCTGGCTTAGGGCTGGGTGGCTCCAGCTCCCTTTGCTCCCTTGGGACAGGCACAAGATTTTTCTACAATAAAAGTTGTTCCCTCCTATCCATGGTCCTTGTTTGTGTCTCTAACCCCTGGGGAGGGGGGTCCAGGTGGGAATTAATGCTTTATTTTAGTCCTCCTTCTGTGCCCACCATGTCTGTGGGGCTACTCAGGGACTGTGTCACCTGAAGGGGACATAGTCAATACCAGGCTCTTGCAGTGCCCTGGAGCCCCATATCTGCCTGCAGGGATGGCGTGAGATGGGATGGGGTCACCCTGGGAACATCAGGACACCCAGTGCCAGGGTGGTCCCATGTCAGGGCGTCTCTTAACCAGGACAAAATTTCTGTCCCCTTGTTGATGCTACACAGGGACCAAGGACTCTGCCCTTGTGAAAGTGGCCAGCATGTCCCCATGTCCCTGCCCACATATCCCACCTGCATGAATGTCTCCATCTTCTCTTTAACACGGGATCTGGCAGAGGTTGGGCAATCACTTCTTGGGGAAACTGAGGCACGAAGCCAGTCAAGGTCACCTGTTCACCAAGAGCCTGTAGAGTGTGGAGCCTGCTCCTGGCCAGGCAGGCATCCCCCTGTGGAATTTGGCATTTGGAGCAGTGCCAAGGGCAGCCAGCGTGCAGTTACACCCAGAGCACCCAGATGGTTCTTGTGGCTCCATCCTTCACCGCAGGGGGAAGATTCCAGTTTCCATGGCAGCTGGCACAGCTTCTCCAGACGTTCAGATATCCATCAAAGATAAGTCCTTCTCAACATGTTAGCTGACAAACAAGCTCAAACAGATATGCAACATATGCATTTATTAATTCATCAGACACAAACAGCCCTGCCTCGTGTCAGAAGCTGCCGACTTGCCCAGCGATGGCTGGCTCTGAACAAGCTGGGGTACGGTGCCATCGGCAGTGCCAGGTTGGACAGGGCTTTGGGCAACCTGCTCAAGTGGAAAGTGTCCCTGCCCATGGCAGGGGGTTGGAGTAAGATGATCCTTAAGGTCTCTTCTAACCCAAACCATCCCAGTAAATGATGATTTTATGATAAACCAAGCTGAAACTCATGCTGGAGGATGCTGAGCTACCCCAGGGGCAGGAGCAAACCTGCAGCAGGGATGAGCACAGGAATTTCATGGGGCAGGATCACACCCTGAGCTGGGCTAACCCCATTTAACACCTTCTCTTTTTTATCCCCCAGTCACTGGGATAACAAGAGCTCTTGCCACAATCCCAAAGCAAAGCTGTGACTTCTGAGGGTGCCAACACTGGGCAAGCATGAGAGGAGTTCCCATTCCATCACCTCCGGACAAAACACACCCCAAGGCCAGAGTCATATCCAACTTCTGTATTTAGTGGCTCTTTACAGAACTTGTTCCTTCCAAAATTGTTAAACAAAGTTCATCGATCTCATAGAAACTTTTGAAGTACAGAACATGAGCCTAACAAAAACGTGACCGGTGTGTCCCGCTGGCTTTCATACAACAGGATTGCCGTGCTCAGGACTATCCTAAGTGCTTCCTCAAATCCCGTTCCACTAAAGCTCCCTCTAGCACACAAAGGAGAAGGCAGTCAGTGGTCACACCTCCACCTTCCACAGCACGGTGGCAGAGCAGCTGTGGGCAGGAGAGGCAGGCAAGGAGAGCTGTGCCCTCACCCAGCATTGCTCGTCCGCTACCACCCGAGTACAAAAATACCTTCTATTCTGATAAAAACATCTACAGTGGAAAATCAGTCAATGCATCGCCTGGGAGCCTGGCAGGGCCTTGGTGGGCAATGCCATGTGGGCAGGGGACAGGGCAGAGCAGCCCAGCGTGGGACACTCCACATTGTTTAAAGGCATTTTGTTAGCAGAGGCCGGCTGGAGGCGGTGGGGTCAGGGAGGTGACAGGGAGCACAGCGGGATGGTGCCACCACTGAGCTCCTCTGTCTGCACAGGATCAGCCCTGGAATGCCAAAGATCAGTGATGCTTTGCCCAACTCAGGGGTGAGCTTGCCCAGTTTAGGCAGGAGCCTGATGTGACATCCCAGAGCTCATCCTGGCATCACTGACATCCACTACCTGGGACATGGCTACGGGGAAGGGATGCTCCTCCTGCCCTGGTGATCTCCCTAAAAAAGTGCTGGGCTGTGATGCTGGAGCAGCTCCAAGCAGGGCTCAGCCTGAGTGGGTGGCTCACAATTTTTGGGCGCTCACCTTAAGCACTGCAGCTCCAGGGCCAAAGCTTGGAGGCTCCATCCTTCTCTTTCCTGAATGGATGAGGAAACAGGATGCCATGATTTCCATTCCCAGCAAGCTGGCACCATCCTCAAGCATCACACCCAGGGACATTTTCCCATCCCACTCCCAAAAGCCCAAGCTCACTCAGGTTGCTTTCTTTGCTTTTGCCTCATTTTCTCTCCTTTGGGAGCTGGCACGAGCCTCACCACGCCGGATGGGAGCTGCCACCGGCCGGAGGAAGCGCAAGGGACGGCGTTGGGACCATGCTACATCTTGTTCCAGAAGGCTATTGCAGACATTTCTACAACATATACAACCGCACGGGACATTCTGTGTTACAAAGGCTTCCAAAAACATAAACCACCAGAACTAAATACATACTCGATGGCATCGGGGGCTTTAGAGTCTTCAGGGACTAGGATGCAGTCTCTGGCTGGGGCAGAAGCGATGCAGTGTCTTACAGACAGGGGTGGAAACTGCAAAAGTTTCTTAAATTTGGTCAGTCTCATAGTGCTTCTTGATGGCTTTGCTCAAAAAGTCTTTTCTGTGGGTTGGTTTTCTTTTTTTTTTTTTTTTTTTTGTTTATTTGTTTTTAATCTCATCCAGTGGCAAACTACAAGACTTCAGTGTACATTTAATGACACGACTGCTACATCATCTTGATTTTATAGCTATCTTTAATATCAAAGCAGCTTAAGCTGTTAATAAATTCCAAAGTATCCTTTTATTAAAATATCTAAAAGAGGTCTATAAATATTTTTTGTTTTTTTGTTTTTCTTTTCTAAAATTGTTCCCAGTTTTTCACATTTAAAACAAAGCCAGAGGGGTAGGGTGGATTCATAGAGGGGGGGAGGTCCCCTCTTTTTCATGGGCGCTCCTCTTCCGCAGCGCCGGCCACTCGTCACCTCTTGGTGCACACTGCATTTATCAAAATATATATATATGTGTGGGGGTGTATATATATATTTAGGGTGTCGGGGGGGCTCAGAACTCCCACTCGAGGGCCTCCTCGCGGTTGGCAGCCCGCTCCAGGCGGTGGATGATGTTGTTGAGGTTGGCCATCTTCTCGTGGCGCCGCTGCACGCTGGTGCTGAGCCGGGGGCCAGGAGCCGGTGGGAGCGCGGGCGAGACCGGCCCGGCAGAGGACGGTCCTGGTGAGGCCGAGCCGGTGAGGCCGGGCGAGGAAGCTGCCGAGGGCGATGTTGGGGACACCACCAAGCTGCAACGGGATGACCCCGCGGAGGACTGGGAGCTGTCGGGATGTGGAGGCGGCGGCGGCGGAGGTCCCCCGGCGGTGGCACCGGCGCGGCCTCCCCGCCGCGGGAGGCTGCCGGCGCTGGGGGCGGCGGCGTGGGGGGCTGCCCCCCGCTCCTCCTGGGGAGGTCCGGTCCCTTCGGCCGCTCCGGCCGGGCTGCGTGAGTCCCGCCGGCGGCTCCAGCCGCCCGGATCCCCCTGCTCCTCCTTCACCTTCACGGGCACAGCGGCACAGGGGGGCTCGCCCCCCACGAGCACGGGTTTGTGATCCTCGGTGTCCGAATCGGGGCTGTGGGGGGCCCGGCGCCCAGGGATGGCTGTCCCGCCACTCTGCTCCGGGTCCGTGTCATTGTCCTGCGCACCCTCCACCAGCATCTCTCGGCGCATGCGTGACCTGCGGGACACAACCACGGAGAGGTGGCAACAACCACCCAGTGCCCCATGCCATGTCTCTAGCCAGTGGGCAAATTGTCCACTGTAATATCACCTAGGGATGAAACCTGTGCTGCTCCCCAGGGCTGGGCTGCTGTGGGGATGGATCCAGTGCTCCAGCAGCCTCCATAAGGTGTTCCCTCCCCCTTTGCAGGGATCCCACTCTGGGGTGAGCAGGTGGATGTGAGCATGGAAACCACTTTAGATGCTCAACATGACTTGGTCAAGGTAGCCAACACCACCCACCAACCTGGGGACCTCCAGTGGGTCTGCACCACCCATCTAGGGAAGAGTGATGGGGAAGGCTAGAAGGGGAACTGTGACACCCCCTCCGTGGCACAGCACCCCAAAGCTCAGGAGTGCCCATACCTGTAGTTGTGGAACCAGTTGATGACGGTGTTGGTCTTGAGGTTGAGCTGGAAGGAGAGCAGCTCGATGGTCTGCTGGGAGGGATATGGCTCCAGCTGGTAAGCTTTCTTTAGGGCTTCCTTCTCCTCTGGCGCCAACACCACCCGCGGCTTCTTGATCTGGAGCAGGCTGAGGTCCTGCGGCGGCGCGCTGGGGCTGGCGCACTCGGAGCGGGCGCTGGGGGACTCGCTGTCCGAGCCAGCGCTCATCAGCCCGTACCGGCGCTTCAGGTAGGCTGCAGGAGAGGACACCCAGCTGGCACGGCTCGCCCCCCAGCCCAGGACCCCTGCCCCAGCCAGCACCCCCCACCCAGCGGGGCTGTATCACCCCATCCCTCACCCTTCTTCTCCAGCTTCTTCATGTCGCGCAGCTTCTCCACGTTGTGGGGGTCGTTGAGCCAGAGCTGCATCCGGACGAAGGGCTCCCTCCCCTTCAGGCTCAGCTTGTGCCACGGCTTGGGCCTGGAGAGGAGATCGGACACCGAGCCCTGCGTCAGGCCCAGGATGCTCTCCCCAAACAGCCGCTGGCCTGGCGGAGGAGAAGCAGAGGTGGTTAGCGGGGTAGAGCAGCGGGACGGGCCCTGCAGTCCCCCTGCAGAGCAGGTGCACCCCATTTCCCAGCCAGCATCCTCCTGGAATTCCCATGAGCACCCACAGAAAAACGTCTGGGAGGGGTGTTGCATCTACAGGAACTGGGGTGCTGGATCCATGCAGTCTCACCAGCAGCTCCCAAAAA